CTATAACCACCACCACCACACACACGTAATCACAAGCTAATCGACCCTACCAACCAACACCATGTCAAGCTATGTTATAGGAGCGTAATGATAGTCCCTTACCTATCTCCTATTGCTCTAGGCTTCTCCTATAGTGGTATAAATATTCTCATGACGATCTCTCAACTTTCTCTCGGAGACTTTATCTTATTTTAGCTTTCCAAGAGTATAATGGCAGAATTTTAGCTTACTCTTAGATATTTTAGCTGTTATCTTAGTTTTATTTTATTTTGTCTGTTATCTTAGTTGTCTTATTTTAGCTGTTATTTAGTCATGTTATTTTAGCTGTTATCTTAATCAGGTTATTTTAGCTGATATCTTAAGCATCTTATAGCTGAACAAGAGTTTTAAGAGTCTTAGCTTCCTCTTAAACTCTTTGAATTAGTTGCTCTTATTTAGCTTTTCCTTTTTTTAGCTCTCTTTATCGTTTTACTTTATAGGAATTATTATCATCTTTTTTTTCCAACATTTATATAATATTCCTGTTTTATTGTTGTTTCCTCCAGTTATTTCCTCTTTAGTATACGTGTTTATGTTTATTCTTTATCTATCTCTCTTTTCATGTCTTCGTTCATTCTCCCTATTACTCGTTTATTGTTCCTTTATCTTCGTTTTTCTGTCATTATATGTTTTATAGTTGGAAACTATGACAGTTTAGGTGAGTGAGTGTGTGTGTGAGTGTGTGTGTGTGTGTGTGTGTGTGCGTGTGTGTGTGTGTGTGTGCGTGTGTGTGTGTGTGTGTGTGTGTGTGTGTGTGTGTGTGTGTGTGTGTGTGTGTGTGTGTGTGTGTTTATTTGTGGCTGAATGCAACATTTTGTATTGATAGTAACTTAAATGAGCATCTTTTTTTACTTATAAATCGTTATGCGAGTTAGTTTTTTTTACTTATAAGCCACTCTGTAAGTCACTTTTTTACTTATGAAACACCCTGTAAGTCAATAATTTTAACATGTGAACCGCTGCTTAAGTCTTTTTACTTATGAAACACACTGTAAGTCACTATTTTACTTATGAAACACCTTGTAAGTCACTATTTTACTTATGAAACACCCTGTAAGTCAATAATTTTAACATGTGAACCGCTGCTTAAGTCTTTTTACTTATGAAACACCCTGTAAGTCATTTTTTTACTTATGAACCACCTTGTAAGTCACTATTTTACTTATGAAACACCCTGTAAGTCACTTTTTTACTTATGAAACACCTTGTAAGTCACTTTTTTACTTATGAAACACCCTGTAAATCATTTTTTTACTTGTGAAACACCCTGTAAGTCACTTTTTTACTTATGAAACGCCCTGTAAGTCACTTTTTTACTTATGAAACACCCTGTAAGTCAATTTTTTACTTAAACGCCCTGTAAGTCACTTTTTTACTTATGAAACACCTTGTAAGTCACTTTTTTACTTATGAAACACCTTGGAAGTCACTTTTTTCTTAAACGCTATGTAAGTCACTTTTTTACTTATGAAACGCCCTGTAAGTCACTTTTTTACTTATGAAACACCCTGTAAGTCACTATTTTACTTATGAAACACCCTGTAAGTCACTTTTTTACTTATGAAACACCCTGTATATCACTTTTTTACTTATGAAACACCCTGTATGTCACTTTTTTACTTATGAAACACCCTGTAAGTCACTTTTTTACTTATGAAACACCCTGTATATCACTTTTTTACTTATGAAACACCCTGTAAGTCACTTTTTTACTTATGAAACACCCTGTATATCACTTTTTTACTTATGAAACACCCTGTAAGTCACTTTTTTACTTATGAAACACCCCTGTATGTCACTTTTTTACTTATGAAACACCCTGTATATCACTTTTTTACTTATGAAACACCCTGTATATCACTTTTTTACTTATGAAACACCCCTGTATGTCACTTTTTTACTTATGAAACACCCTGTAAGTCACTTTTACGGTAGGTATCCAATTCTCTCAGTACTGGAAGCAGATTTTTATGAATAAACCTCTATGTAATTATTATATTATTTTGATATGTATTTATGTGTGTGTTATGTAGAAGTTTCATATACTTACATGTGTGTGTGTGTGTGTGTGTGTGTTATGTAGAATTGTTGTCATATTTAATAGTTTTTGTAGAGTTATTTATTTTTCATATTTTTTATTTTGTTTTATTATCTTGTTTTTCAATTTCGTCCCAATTTCCTATTTACTTAATATCATAAATTCACACCTATATCCCTATTTTCACATAAGATCATCATAAATTTACACCTATATCCCTATTTTCACATAAGATCATCATAAATTTACACCCATTTTAACCCAATCTACCGAAATACGAATGAATCATCCACCATTCACAGACCATCATCCATCTGCCATCATCCATCTCTCTACAAGTAGTCAAGCTCAATTAAGCTCCATCAACTATCAATTCCTGTCATAATTTCACATTTTTCTCAGGTGTCTGATAAGAATCAATTACTTTACCTGGCATACGTGTGGTTCTCTAGGCAGGTGAGGTAAAGGTGAGGTGATGCTATTAACTTTTTTGGGGGAGGGGAGTAGGGGGGGGGGTGAGGGTAGGGAGGGGGTAGGGGGAAAGGGGGGCGGGGTGATTGATTAAATGAATAGAAAAAAATATACATATAAATTAAATGGATAAGGAATTGGAATAAAAAAGATGCATAAGATGATTTGATAATAAGGAAATCAGTTAAATTACTAATAAATGGGGAGTTATGGTGCATAAAACACTGGAGAGATTGATAAATAAATAAACAGCGTTAGTTAAAATAGATAAATAATTTAACAATAGTCGGTAAAATTATCTAATATGGTAAACTGAAAAAGATAAATTGATAAAGTAAAGAGATAAAAAAAAATAATAATAAAAATAGCTAAATGGAAGTAATTTAAAATTCGATAAATATAAACGTTAATGAAATGGTAAATTACAAGAAAAAAAAAACAGATTGCAACATGCTGACGCAACTAGAGTAATAATATATATGGGGAAAATGAAATAAAACAATTTTGTTCATTTTGTATAACATAAAAGGTTCATCTTGTTGAAATCTAACGCGACGGACAGAGGGACGGACAGACGGACAAACGGACGGACAGATTAAGAAGACCTGCACGTAACAGTGGCTGACGAAGGTGGGGCGAGTAGACGTGTGGGGGCGAGGTGAGGCGAGTACACGTGTGGGGGGTGAGGCGAGTACAACGTGGGGGTGAGGTGAGGCGAGGTGGGGGGGCGAGTATACGTGAGGGCGAGGCGGGCGAGTACACACGCGTGGGGTGAGGTGAGGCGAGTACACGTGGGGGGGGTGAGGAGGCGAGGTGGGGGGCGAGTATACGTGAGGGCGAGGCGGGGCGAGTACACGTGTGGGGGGTGGAGGGGTGGGAGGCGAGTACACGTGTGGGGGGTTAGGTGAGGCGAGGTGGGGGCGAGTATACGTGTGAGGGCGAGGCGGGGCGAGTACACGTGTGAGGGCGAGGCGAGGCGAGTACACGTGTGAGGGCGTACACCTGTGTCTCATATCACCTCTCTATTAACGTCGATAATGATAAATTTCATGACACCACGAAGATTAAATATTTATATACAAACCACAAAGTAATCGACACGGAACGGCGATTAACCCGGTGTGGATTTTGGTATTTTAAGTGAAACCCTCAGGTAATTCAGTCCCCGATATGTAAATGAATGTCGAAATATCACCCCCAAAAATATGACAAAAATAATATATGTTATTAGTAAATTTCAAGGGTTGGTATAATTAACAAAACACACACACACATACACACACGTGCACACACATGGTAGATCTCCTCCATCACCATTATCATCATCATCACTATCATCATCATCATCACTATCATCATCATCATCACTATCACCACCACCAATCAGACTATAGAAAACATCCCATCAGAACACTTCAAACAACAACTATCATTACCAACCACCATTATCACTATCACCACCAGTCCAACTACAGAATACGTCCCATCAGATCACCACCAATCAGACTATAGAAAACATCCCATCAGAACACTTCAAACCACGACACGAACAAGATCCCACTAAAATAATATTATTGTCAAAATTCAAACCATTATTTACATTCTGGTACATCAACGTAGAAAGAAATAACAACACAAATAAGAACATGACCCCCCAAAAAAATATTAAATAAATAAATAAATAAACTTTGACAACACGAACACCTTGAAGTGGGGTGGTGTGTGATGTGGGGGGTGAGGTGTGTGTGGGGGGGGTGAGAGTGTGTTGTGTGTGTGTGTGTGTGTGTGTGTGTGGGGGGGACGACAGCAACCTGGTGTATGCAATAATAATGAACCTTCGACGATCCGCTGACCATGGCTGTCCTATGATGATGAAATTAACCACGATGTGTCTCTTGATAATGGGGTAATGGGAAGAAGGGGAAGGAGGATGGAGGAGGAGCAGGAGGAGGAAGAGGAATAAGAGGTATGAAGGAGGTAGATGAGGTAGAAGGGGGGAAGAGGAAGAGTAGATGGGATAAGAAAGGAAAGAGAAAATGGAAAGGTAACCAGATGGATGGAAAGGAATTAAGGAAGAGAAAAGATTTTGGGAGAGAGAGAGAGAGAGAGGTGGGTGAGACACAGGTAGCTAGGTAAGGAAGGAAGGAAGGAAGGAAGAAAGGAAGGAAGGAAAGGAGGGAGGGAGACAATAAGCAAGCGTCGCGTGTTCACCATCGATCAAGTACAACATGAAGCTAAATATATATAAATATATATTTTTTTTTTTGCCCCAAATCTTCAGCTTTCAGCAAGTTTTTACCCTAACACTCACAAGACTTCAGCTTGAGTTGTATTCAAAGCTAAATTTATCGATAAACATTAACTAGTATCTTTTTTGTTTTTAGTTTAAGATAATAGACATTAGCTTTCTGCCTAAGTGTCTCTAGTTCCTTGTTATGAATAGCCACCGTACCTAACTTTACAGCTCGGGAAGTGAAGGCGCTCGAGTGTAGTACGGGACACCCTGCATCCTCGTGTACTGAGGAAGAGGTGTAGTCTAAAGTGTAATAATACCAACAATGCCATTAAAAAAACAATATAAAAACACCTTTTGGATTTTTATCAATCACCTCGACGTAAAAAAATAATAATATTCCTAGGATTCACATTATTATTGATTCTTGGTTTAGTTTTATCTTTATCAGGTTTAATATCTAGGTTTAACTGGGATAAACCATTGATTTTATTACCCATTCGTTCATATATTACTGTTCAAAGTGTGGGTTTATATATGTCTGTTTTATCGGAGTTTGTGTATGTCGTCTTTATTATCTCTATGTTCTTGTGTGTCTCTTTATTGTGGTTTAAATCAGGTTTATGTCATGTTGGTTAATACAGTACGTGGTTTCTGTGATTGTTTTGTATCATAGTTCAGGTCAGAGGTGAGGTTGTCTAGGAATGACTGGGTTTATCTAAGGTTTAATCTAGGTTTATTATGGGATTATTTAAGCTTCATGTTTAATTGGATATATTTAAGCCTAATTTCGGGGTTTAATTGGGTTTACCTAAGTTTTACAAGATGGTTTATTAGTTTGTTTATCTGTATAAGGTCACCCTCCACTGTGTCACCAGGAAGGTCACCCTCCACTGTGTCACCAGGAAGGTCACCCTCCACTGTGTCACCAGAAAGGTCACCCTCCACTGTGTCACCAGGAAGGTCACCCTCCACTGTGTCACCAGGAAGGTCACCCTCCGCTGTGTCACCAGAAAGGTCACCCTTCACTGTGTCACCAGGAAGGTCACCCTCCACTGTGTCACCAGGAAGGTCACCCTCCACTGTGTCACCAGAAAGGTCACCCTTCACTGTGTCACCAGGAAGGCCACCCTCCACTGTGTCACCAGAAAGGTCACCCTTCACTGTGTCACCAGGAAGGTCACCCTCCACTGTGTCACCAGAAAGGTGTGAGAGCTTGAATCACCAAGATCCTTCACTTGATAAATTCAACTCTAAATATTTGGGTGATATATATAAAAAAATATATATAAATATAGATATATATTAGACAAAAGAAATATATATATATACATGTACTTAAAAACAAAAGCATTATATATATCAATTAATATTATAGACAAACCACGCGCATGCATTAAAAAAATTACACACAAACACACACACACACCATGCAAGGAAGAAATATTATAATAAAGGAAGAACACACAAATCTACCTGAACGAATCAATAAAAAAAATTCAAATAAATAAAAATATTTCCCTTAAAAGAAGAAATAATAAATGAAATTGAAGAAAAACAATACTAATAATATCAACAGGTTGTTTTTTTTCCCTACAAGAGATTCCCCCTTAAGTGATGGTCATTGAATTGGATATGTATGATAAGGACACACTTGGAACTTGTAGTATTTGGCGGCAGTAATACTCTATAATGGCGGTCAGATTATAGGGTTTAGAGGGGGGGGCTGAATCTCCCTTTCTACCCTAACCCCTCTCACCCCTCCACAAACCCAAGGCCAAGTGGGAGATAGGAGGGGAGGGAGAGGAGAGGGAGGGAGTATAGATGGGGGAGGGAGAAGGGGAGATTATGAGACACGCGAGGCTCAAATGTAGACCCTCTCCCCTCCCCCCTCCCTCTCACCTCCCCCTTCCCTTCCCTCTCACATCTATTGCTCAGATTTTTCCATAAATGTTGTATGTAATGTGTGATGGGTGTCAGACACGCGACCCTGGCCTGGCCACCTACAGCGTCAGGCCAGGTGCTGTCAACCCCCCTGTCTTGCCACCTGTGTTTCCAGCAACGTTTTTAACATTATTCAAATGTATTCAAAGATCATTGAAATATATTTACTTTATTGGATTTTTTTTCAGATTTTTTTTTTGCTGTATATAGATTTTGTTTTTGTTTTTTTGTATATTAGATACATCGTGGTGTAGTATTTTCCTGTAATGTATTATAATCCGGACACTAAAACTACAGTAGTTCATAAAAACAGTGGAAGCGAAATAATGACAATCACATGTTCTTGGGAATTAGTGTACACGAAACAATATATACTTGTGATTTACGTGGTGATTTACAAGTTTGTAAATAATTCTGTTCTAATTTACAAACACAAATTTGCATATCTGAGTGAATATATACATTGATTATTTTTTTCAAGACAATATATGAAAGCTTTGACGCAGGTGATGACGGCGAGTGTGAGGAAAGAACTCCATAGAGGGTATTAGGTAAAGGTGGGAGGGAAGTGGGAGGGAGTGAGGGAGGGAGGGAAATGGCAGGGAGGGAGAGAAGGAGGGAGGGAGGGGGATAGAGTAGCCTGTGACGGGGTGTTCCCGGGATGTGCACTGAAGCGATTTAATTCTGGTTGACAGTCTAGACGTTGATATGTGCCACCCACGCCCATCCGCCCACACTTAACCGCCCACGCCCACACACACACTCACCCACACAC